GGTCGACGTGAATAACGCCTTTTTGAATGGTGACCTTCAGGAGGTGGTCTTCATGCAGCAGCAGCCCGGCTTCAAACAAAATGCCCTCTATGGAAGCAAACTGGTGTGCTGCCTGAAAAAGGTGTTGTATGGATTGAGGCAAGCTCCAAGGAGTTGGCATACTAAGCTTCGAGATAGCTTGCTGAGCATTAGGTTCAAATAATCGAGAGCAGATGTATCTCTTTTCATTAAGAATGAGGGCCAGCACTATGTGTACTTCCTAGTCTATGTTGATGATATCATCATCACAGGCCACTCGAGTGCTCAAATCGATAAAGTAGTTCAGTTACTGAGTGACAAATTCTCCCTAAAAGACTTGGGGAAGCTCGTGTACTTTTTGGGAATTGAAGTCAAACGAACTAGTGGCTACCTTGCACTCTCACAGAAGAAGTTCATCATGAAACTCCTTGAGAAATCTGGTATGTTGAAAGCCTCTTCAACACCAACTCCTATGGTGGTAGCTACCAAACTACGTTGTGACGATGGAGAACTCATTCCCGATGCTCACTTCTATCGCAACATTGTTGGAGTACGTGTACCATACAAGACCTGACATTGCCTTCTGTGTTAACAAAGTCACCCAGTACATGCATGCTCCACGACAATCCCACATGGCTGCAGTTAAGCGAATCCTGTGGTACTTAGCTGATACATTGAATTTTGGCCTAACATTCACTGCTGTTGGAACAGGTGTGAAGGTTGCTGCCTTTGTTGATGTCGACTGGGAAGGTAACCTCGATGAAAGGAGGTCAGTTTCTGGGCATAGTGTGTTTGTTGGAAACAATCTAGTTGCATGAAGCTCAAAGAAACAAAAGTCCATGTCGAGATCCACTATGGAGACAGAGTACAAGAGCGTCGCTGACACAGCTGCCGATGTGGTGTGGGTTGGAGCCTTACTGACTGAACTTGGTGTATGTCAGAAAGAGGAGCCTATCATATGGTGCAACAACACCAGTGTTGTTGCTCTTAGTGCCAATCCAGTCTACCATGCTCACACCAAACATGTTGATTTGGACATACATTTCATACGCAAAAAGGTTGTTGCCAAACTGATGAAGGTCAACTATGTACCTGCTGCTCATCAGATTGCTGATGGATTAACTAAGCCACTGGCATGAAATGTCTTTGAAGAATTTCGTGCGAAGTTATGTGTGAAGCTGTGCTAAGAAGAATGAGAGGAGAGAAAGCAAGAAGAATGTTGAAGTATGGTGTCAAGCACGCTGGTATACTAGTGCATGGCACACTGGTACGCTCGTGTATGGTAGCTACTGCTAACGTTCGTGGAACGTTCTAGTCTCATGTGCAACAGATCACTGCTCGTGGAGTTACAACAGTTATTACTGTTAGGTAGTTAGAGTCTTGTTAGAGTAGTTGTAGTGCAGTTAGTCTCTTGCAATCTTGTTGAATCTTGTAGTTTGTTAGCTATATAAGGCGTGTAAAGAATGATGGGAAGAATAAAGAAGAGCATTATATGTTTCTAGTTGTGTCTCAAACTCGTGGTTATTGAGCTCTCTCAACAAAGGGATCATCTTAGAGGAAACAAATGATAAGACTCAAAGAATCCCCCTACCACCGAGCATCACCGAAAACACGCAAGAAAAGTTTACTGGGCACTATCAAAGGAGGGCAAGGTCACGGTGAACTCCGCTGCTAGAGCCATTACCTTAATGGAAACACCAGAACAACCATCAGACAACCTAAGTTGGGTTTAGAGAATAGCTACAACATAAAAGATACGTTTTTTCGTTTGGCTATGCATGCTAGATAGGTTGAGCACAAATGAAGTTCTCACAAGGAAGAATATGACTTGAGACCAAAACTGCAAACTCTGCCAGAATGTTACTGAATCAGTCAGCCATATTTTAAGAAATTGTTAAATAGCAAAACAAGTATGGGAGGACATGAAGAGGAGTAACCAAATTCACCTATTCGAAAATGAATCTTTCAAGGAATTGATGAAAATGAATTGTTGCTCGAAGAAATGGAATAACGAGTGTGCCAATCAGGGCACTATTTTTTCCACTGTCATTTGGGGCTATGAAAACATAATAACGAAAGAATCTTCGAAGAGAGTGTCAAAAAACACAATCGGGTGATTACCTATGTAGGGAACATCGCTAAAGAGATCAGCATGGCTCTAACACAGAAGCATAATAAAATTACAAGAGAACCCTTCTGGATTAAATGGAGAAAACCACCAACGGGTCAAAAAATCCTGAACTCGGATAAAGTTTACAAAACCACGACCGGCTTAGCACAGGCAGGCGGTTTAATCAGGGGCGAAAATGGCGACTGGATGGGAGGGTTCATACTAAAAATTAGCAGAACTAATGGTGGGACTACTGAAGTTTGGGGGTTACGTCAAGGACTTATGTTAGCTAAAGAATGGAAAATACCAAGCTTAATCATCGAGATCGACGCTAAGTGGGTCGTTGAGGCACTGAACGACGCAAATACGAAAGATGATTCATAGGATATTCTTATCAAAGATTACCGAGAACTCAAGCGAGGTGGTTGGATTAGCAAAATACGACATATATGGCGTGAGGGGAACATGTGTGCAGATCGTTTAGCAAACCTGGCTATTTCATAATCGGAGAATATTGTTATTTTGGAAAATCATCCGGAGGAGATCAGGCCCCTTTTAGAACCTAGCTAGAGAGGACTGAGTACTTTTAGGGTGTAGGGGTGTAACTGCTTGTTGGCAGTTTATCTGCCCTTCCTTCTTTTGTACCCAAGGGCGTGGCTGAGTCGGGGCACAGTTCGCGACGGTGCAGGGCCTAAAAAAAGACCCCGAAATAGAATATATCTATCAGTTATTGTCATTTATTAAGAAGCAAAAAAATAGGTATAGAGCAATGGTTAGATCATTGGGCCCATAACTTTGTTGATCCTAAGTTCGAATCTCGTTAATAAGCAAAATTATTTTTGGGAAAAACAATGCAAGTGGGCCTGCTCACTGTAATATAGCTGTAAATTTTTTTCTCTTTTTGATTAAAATACAGAAAATATCAGAAAAATAAGTTCAAGATCTAAGGACCCCTTTTCAAGAATTTACACAAGACCTCCAACAACCTAACCACGGCCCTGTTTGTACCAAAAAAAGCAACAACAAACAACAAAGTCAAAATGAAACTTTACTGGGGACAACATGAACAATTTAGGATTATAGTCTAATTATCAAGTAATTAATTTAAAATTAAAAAAATGAGAGTATCATGTTCTAATTAATTTCTTTTTAAAATTGATAGTGATTTAAGAAATATTCAAAATGAAAAAAAAAATATCATTACTTAATTCGTTGAGTTTCAAAGCTAATAAAAAATAAAATACAATTTGACTCAAAAAATTAGAGAGTCATATTTTATTGGGTAAATTACACGTTTAGTATCTAAACTATCAGTTTTAGTCTATTTTAGCACCTAAATTTTCAATATTTTAAAAAAAATACCTAACGTTTAGTTTTTTTCATTTCAGTACCTCTGTTAAAAATTTAATGTTTTTTATGGGTAAATTACATCGTTCATCGCTTAACTATTTTCTCACTCTTATTTTGGTACTAATGTTTAAAAATTTTCAATTTAACTACTCAACTTTCAAATTGCTCCTATTTTAACGACTCTATTTTATTTTATTAATAATTTTTGTGACATGACTTTTTATTATTATTTTATTAATATATAATTAAAAATAAAAAAAATTGAAGTTAGAGTGAGTAAGTTAGGAGTAATTTAAAAATTAAGTAATTAAATTAAAAAAACAAATTTTAGTGACCAAAATAAGAGTGAGAAGATAGTTGATTGATGAATGATACAATTTACCGATAAAAAGATACCACATGCAAATCACTCGTTAAGTTTTTAACGGTTGTGTACTAAAACGAAATAAAAAATAAACGTTAAGTGTGATTTTGAAAAAAAAAATGAAGCTTAGGTACTAAACATACTAAAACCGATAATTTAAGTAGTAAACACGTAATTTACCTTACTTTATTTTGCTTAATTTCAAAACTAAAAGGATATGATAAGTAAACAATAACGAATTGAGAAACATTTTTAAAAATAAATATATATATATATATAATAGATATTATAAATAAAATAAATAACTAACAAAAATTCAAATTTTAATTTCAACCCACGTAGATTCGGCACTGCAAGCAAATGTGCCTAAAAGTAAGAATATAATATAAGATAGCATTTATATTTGATAATATTCGACAAACCCCAAGCATCGGGCCAGCTTCTTGTTTGGGCTATTACCCATAGGGTGGTCTCAAGTCCAACCGGTCATGTTCATCGGTTTTACTCATTCCTGTGTCAAGTCCTTTGCTCATCAATCATTGAAGACTTACTTGTTCGTAGATTTTACTACTCCCGGGTTCCTTTTTCCGGCCAACCACCTGCCCAATTTTTTCAAAAGTTCCAGAAACCCTTTTTGAAAAGCTTCACTCTAAAATTCAAAATGCATGCAAAAACGATTCCTTCACGTGGAAGAAAGAAAGGTCAAAATAATCTAACAGATTGTAATTCAGTCAATTAAAATATTGTAATAAACAAGGCAATAGTCATTAAAATTGGAACATACATATAATGTGACCTGATATAATAACATGATTAGAGAAAATAAGACACGACCAATCATAAATAATCAAGTTACAAAAAGGGGCTAAATTAGCCGAAAATGCATAATACAAGGACCTTCTTACAATTTGACCAAAGAAGAACAATACGAACCAGGAATGTTCCACGCTTTCGGATCATTGGTTAAGGCTTATACGTTGCCATCTTCATCTTCTACAAGCAAACTATTCAATCCACAATGCTTTGCCAATACGTATTTTTCATATTCTACTACGTATGGCAATAGTCAAACAACTTTGCCTAATCTTTCAACATAGAAGCAAAACAATTTCAAACCCTTCACTCTTCTTCTAATTACCCCAACATTATATCTATATATAAGTATAGGTTGTCTCAGAGTTCACAGCCTAGAACTTTAGAACATTATATCTATATATATCATCCATGGCGACAAAAGCCAATACAATGCCAGTTATCAGCAAGCTGTATTGTTCCTATTCTCAGGTGGTGTTCGTGGCTCGGAGGACGCCGCATGTGGTGAATGGAGGTGGTTTTGCGGTGACGAATTGTAGCCAGCTGGTTGTTTTCTGGGTTGATGGTTGTGGCATTCTCGGTACCAAAGGGGAGATCGTGTTGAGAGACATGGAAGGCGATGCTTTGCTTCTCAAACGTGGTTTTTCCTATTGTATGCATGCATATGAACCAATCAATTTCAATGAAGAAGCTTGAATTGGCAGGCTTACTTTGCAGGAACATGTTAGATAGAAAGGTAAAAAAGAACATGATAACATGGAATTGTAAAGTGATCATCATCATGAGGAGGATTGTTTCTCAAATTAGTCTCCAATTGAGATGGCAATTTGTTCAAGTAACTTTGTATAATATTCATATTTGAGTTCTCGGTTCTTATATTTCAGGGAGGGAGGGTTGAGGCACTGAGCATACATAAAAGACGGAAAGGTTACACATCCGACTACAAAGGAACAAAAAAGTTGGTTTTTACCCTAAAGGAGCCTCGTTCATGTCTAGCAAAGAACGATGCCATAAGAATCTCCACTGAACCAAAAAGAAGCAAGAACTGGGACTTTGAGATCAATGGTTATTTCCCCGAAAGAGATTGCAGCATCATTGATTCCGTCAGCAACATTGTCCCTCTGGTAGTACATATATATTGATGTTATGATATGTTATCGAGTATCGAGTGTTCTGAGTCGTAATTCGTGTGTGAATGACAGATCGGAGTCAAGAAGGAAGTAGAGGAGGTGATGGCAAGTAAAGATCTTTATCATGTAGTGGTGAAACCCGGAACCGGTCAAGATTTTGTTTTCGGAGTCATTGCCGTTCTTGATTACATTCATGGAGAATCTACCAGGTGCTGATCCACGAATTTCTATGGGAGCTAAAGAAGAGAAGTCTTTAAATATCCTGGGATAATCTTGTTTAATACCGGGAATGCTTTATTTTGTTTGTTTTGTCTGATTTGTATCACTAAATTTGGAATCAAATGAGCTGCAAATTCCATTCTTGCTTATTTATTTCAGGACAGAACAGAGCATCAAGCTTTCTGTTCATGTTTATGTTTGCTATTCGTTGTTGTTTATGTCTTAAATTTAGAATTTTCCACTAGGAACAAGAAGAATTTAACGAAGAATCCAAAGCTATTCGTAGTTTATGTTTGCTTCATCAAACACTCGTATGCTTTTGAAATCAACTGATAAAGCAGCCATCTTTAATTTGGGGGTGAGGGGGGGGGGGAGGAGGAAAAAGTTAACAAATTTAAAGTTAAATATTCTGGGAAAAGGAACAAATTTTTAGAACATGAAACAGTAGTTTGTCGTATTCTAACGGCAAACAATTACGACGGATGAATGCACATGTTTTCTTTGATTCGTTCCTTGAATCAAACGCAACTTAAACCAAGAAAATTATGAAGAAATGATCAGATCGGGGAAATTAAAAAGAAGGATATTTGATTGAAAAAAGCGAAGATAATTGCTACATGATTCAAGAGCAAATTAAGTAATCGTGATTCTGGTACAGTATATAAATTGAAGACGAATACCATTGCTTGAATTACTGTGTGGAGGGAAATAAACGGCGTCAAGCACAAGCGCAAACGCTCTCCACCACCACTCCCTCGTCATCGGCGGACCGGAAAAGCAAGTACCCAACAGCCAAACCCAAAACGATAGCCAAGAAAACGCCGCCATTGAACGACATGATGGCCAGCATCAGGATGTACCCGATAGTCGAGTTGATTCCGAAGAGCAAGGCCGTCGCGAATTTAGCTGAATTGAGGTAATTAGAGAGGAGAGGAACGACGGATCCGCTGCTGTAGGAAGGCGGGGATGGGTTGGAGGAAGCAAGGGATCTGAAGCGGAGGCGTCGATCTTCCATGTACTGGTCTTCCAGGAATCGGTCTTCCAGGAATCGATGAGGAGAGTTACGTGTTTGCCCCAGTATAAGGTCATGTGCATCATCTTGTTCGAATTTTTTCGATCGAATGAAGCCTTAAAAAAAGCACAGACAAAAATGGAAGATGAAAGGAATGGGTAAAGTAAAATGGTGATTGTCGGGTTAAGACACGAGGAATTTTTCAACCCGATCGGCAACTTCCTCAATATCCGAACCAATCCAGTTCTGACTTCTGGGAATTTTCCTTTTTGCACTCTTACGATTATGCCCTTGATATTAGCTAGGGCTGTCAAGTTGAGCTTAACTCGAATTGACTCAAAAATTTTAAAATGGAGTTCAATCCATCTTAAAAACTCATAAACTTAAACTTTTTAAGTTTGACTCAAACTTGAAATCGTAAATTGAAGCTCATAAAAGCTCGAAATAAAAAAAAATCTTAAACTTGACTGGATTGAAGCTCAAACTTGAACTTGAATCATACATGAAAATCTTATATTGCATTTTTTATAAAAAAAATTAATACATAAATATTAATATTATTAATAATTTAATTTTTTTTTAATAAAATTTTAATATATTATATTTTTGAGTTACTCATGAACTTTTCGAGTTGAGTATCAAGTAACTTGTTTCGACTTGTTAATAACTCGAGTTAAATCCATTCAAACCGAATGTCGACAGTCATTTTCGTCCGAGAATATATTATTATATTACAATTATTATTATCATATTATTATTATTATTATTATTATTACAAATATTACAAAATCGGAGCCCAATTACAAACGAAGACTCGAAGGCCCAAGACCAGTGTCAGGCCCAGACTCGGTTCGGGCCCATGAAGCCCAAAACTCGATTAGGGTTTTCACATCTCATCTTAGCCGCCAACATCTACAACCGTTGGATCTGGAGAGATCCAACGGTCCAGATCCAATCTAGCAAGAATCCTAGGGTTCACCAACCCTAGGGATTATTCCGACGCCGCCTCCAGCTGGTCCACTCCGACGTTGCCACGACGTCGTCGCCTCCAACAGAAGGATCCAGAAGAAGCGAGGATAGCCGCACACTTCATCATCTATATGGTGAGTCACCATCGTAGATCCGGTGACTCACCGAACGAATAGTTGTTTTGAGGGCTATAAAAAGCATTGATTTTCCTATAAAAAAATAACAAAACGGGAAAAAGGAGGACAGAGGAGCAAGAAACCAAAAAAGAAGCAATAAACCAAAAGAAAGAGAAGAAACTTATCTTCGAAGAAGCCTATTATCGTCGAAAACCATCGTGATTTCGAAGGTAAAAACTTAGATCTATTAAGATTAAAGAGTTTTTAGAATAAATAAAGGTCATATTTGGGTTTAGATTGGAGAGATCTACATTTTAGGGGTAGTTTAAAAAATTCCGACCACCGTGAACGGTGACCGACGGTGGTCATCGGTGCTGGAGTTCGGTTTCCGGCGGTGGCCAGATTTCTTTTGGGGAGAAAGTTTAGAGAGAATGAAGAGAGAGTTCTATCTTTAGAGAGAGAGAAAAAAATGAAAAATGAGGAGATGAAGGCCATTTTTAGCCATTTAAGGGTATTTATGCTCTCACCAAAACTACGTAGTTTTGGTGAGGGGTATCCCTGTAATTTCCTACATAAGAAAACCATGTCTTCAATACCTTTACTTCGTAAATTTTCCATTTTAGTCATTAAAATCAATTTAGATACGTTTTTATTCTATTTTTGAATTTTATTTTATTTATAATTTAGTCACTTTCTCATGTTTATATATTTTATGGTAAATAACATATTTAGTCCTTTTAATTATAATATTTTATATATTAATAACTGATTAATAATTAAGGATAAGTTAGACTACCAATATCTATATTTTGTGATATTTCAAATATTGACCAATAATTTATATATTTTTTAATTTAATGATATACTATTATTTTAGTTATTATTTAATTGCAACTTTATTTTATTTTTATTATTACCTTTTATGTCTAAATATTTTAAATCTAATACTTATTTAATTATTTTTATCACGTATATATCTTAATAATATATACTAGTATTTAAAATAAAATATATATAATGGATAATTAAAATAATAATAAAGACATAAAGGTAATACCATTATTAAAAGTTATGATAAAAAATTGCTCCACTTTAAAATTTTTGTGTTTTAATATAAAGTAGAACACTAACTTGTGTCCATGTTTTGCAATGTATTTCGAATCCCACGCTTTGTTTTTAATTAATTATAATATCATTAATTGTTTTTGTTTTTTTAATAAGAATATTATAATTATATATGCTCCACTTTAAATTTTTTGTTTTAATATAAGGTAGAGCACTAATTTTTGTTCATAAAATTTACTATATTTAAATCATAATCTCATGTCTCCACTTTCAAATATATTTATAAGAGTACTAATTTTTGTTCATAAAATTTACTATATTTAAATCTTAATCCCATGTTTTTTTGTATTTTAATTAATGATAATATTTTTATGTATTATATTCTTAAGTAATTATAATATCAATTTTTTAAAATATATTATGTTAATTAATGTCTAAGTGTATATGCATGTAGTAAATGTATTTTGCACGTAGCTTCATGAATCATACATATATTATGTTATTAACCTTTGCATGCTAAGTATAGTATAATATAATAAATATTATTTTATTTGTTGATTTCAATTGTGATTTTTATATGCTTTCAAATAATATGTATGTAAATGTATTTTGTTTGTACATATAGCTTTAGGGTTTATTTTAAATAATATCCTCATAAGCATCTCTTGACTCGAACCGAAATAAATTGATTAAGGGTAATATTCGATCGATTTAATATTGTCGTAAATATAATTGCCTTAACGTATAAGAAAGTTACTTTCGATAATTTCAAAATGAAAGTTTATCCCGTTAAGTAACACCAATTAAATTGAATTCATTTTTAAAATTCAAGGATTGAGAAAAAAGATCGTATTTATTTAATTATATTCATCGAGAAAAGACTGTTAGATCGAATCTACGGTTTCGTCTCGCGATATTTAATTAATTGAATATCATTATTCTCATTAAATATTAGTAAAATAAATAATTAATCAATTGTTTGATATGTTTTTATTATTTATTTATTTGACTTTTTGCATGTGTTTTCAAATGATTTTCAAAATGTTCGATCCGAAATAATTAAATATTATTATCTTTCATCCAAAATTTCTAAAAATGTTATTTTAGGGAATCTTAAATTAAACTAGACTCGGACTCGTACATTTTATTGCAAAGACAATTAATTAATCGACTAGGTACCGATTTAGGGCGTTGTGGGGGGTGTTAATCCTTCCCCACGTGTAACCGACTCCCGAACTCAAATTTTGGTAACGTAGACCCCAAGTTTGTCTTTTAATTAAAATTAATATTTTATTAAAATAAGAAATTTATTTTTGGGTGTCCAATCACACCTCGATAAAATGATTGGTGGCGAGTCCACAAATTGTGTTTTATCTTATACCAGAAGAAAACACTAACTTTTTTGAGACGAGATTTAGAAAGCAACGACACTTGTTTTCGCTGGGTAAAAGACCGTTTCGACAGCTTGGCGACTCCGCTGGGGACTTTTTTTAGAGATTCAGGCAATTATTCGATTAATAAATTGTATTTGCAAATAAAATTACAAGTTCGTTTTAATTTGGTTTTTGATCCCTTGTTTGGTTTTAAATAAGTTTTGTTTGCATTTTGACTCTTAATTTGCTTAACCACTAAATAGTTGTACTAATATGTTTGTTAATGTTTTCAGATTAAATAATTGTTCAGGGTCTTGAGTTTTATGTTCAGTGTTGTTTGCTTTTGTTTTCGCTTTTCCTCACACACTGCACAACTGCATTTGCATAACATGAGCTAAAACCTTGCTCCGTCCTATTTAAGTAGGAGTAAGTAACTACTCCCTCGTGTGGTTTTCACCTCCGTGCGGGAAAGTGAAATGCTCCTTGGGCTCACGCCTTATGATCTTCGTGAGGTTTTCACCTCCGCAATGACATAAGGAAGTGTGTCCCCTCGAACTGAACTCGATCCGAAAACCTGTGATGGGCCAGGATTGAGGGCTTAGTAGTCCAAAGGGGCACCAACAAAGGACAATTCGTTGACCATTTTTACCTTTAGATCCAAA